AGGAAATATATGTTTTGGTTAGCTGCTCCTATGACCACTTTCACACATTTTCTCATCAGCTCTGAACATTGTTATTTCTGCTCTGGCTCCTGGTAAATGAGTTCCTGGAATCACACATGTTCAACACCAGCCCTCAGTGTTTGTACCATCGTTAGGAGTGCAACTTCTCAAACTTATGATTGCTAGTTTCTGTTGTTATTCACTTGCTTATTCTGCTTGAAGTACTAGGAGTAGTGGGTGGGTTGGAAAGTGTGTGTCTGAGCAGACGGCTGCATTAAGAGGCCCATATAACGCCCCTGCATGTATAGTCTGAGATAATCTTTTAAACTCCTTACACCTTCACTAGAATCATTTGCACCATTGGTTTCTTCCTTCATCACACTGGAGTTTTGCCCAAAGACACTGTGGCACTTAGTACGGTCTAGAGCTGGATTCGAACCACCTATCATGACCACTGTTGGGCAAGTTACTTCAAAACTGTAATGCATTATTTATTACTTGTTAGTGTCATTTCACAGTAATTTGTTACATTACAATATTACTGCATTTAGGTCTAGGTCTAAACCGAGGACTGAACTGAGGACTAAACCAGAGCTGAACCAGGACTGAACCAGGTCGGAGCGGAGTTCTGCGGCTGTCCTTTAGCTCGTGGTCACCCGACAAGTGTACGTGGGCGCACCTCCAGCGTTTTACCACAGTGATTTTTGCGAATTTTTATGACGAAAAATGAAAAACCCACTACTTCAATCCAGGTTAAAAAAGCATTGTAACGTGCGTCACTGACATTTGTACCGAGTAAAATATAATTATTTTTTTCCCTGTAATGCCTGATGCAGATGTCACTTGCTTTTTAATTTAAAGGTCCTTTATTACACAAATTGACCGGTCAAAAGTTTTAGAACGACGCCACACTTTTTCCATTTTTTTATGGTTTACTTTTTACTTTTCACCAAAACGTATTCTAAACTTTTGAGTCATGAAAGTGTCCACCTTTGGCAGATATAGCAGCTGCACACACTCGTGGCATTCTTTTTACAAAATAAATCAAATATTCTACAGAAAGTCTGTTGCAGAAGTTCCCATAAATGTGTGGCACTTGTAGGTTGCTTGGTTTTCACTCTTCTGTCCAGTTCATCTCAAAACCAGCTCCATGTTTTCAAGCTTACCATCTTGTTCTTTTTTCCTGAAGTAGTTTTAGCTGAGCTTGGACTTGTGTTTTGTTACCTTTTATCTTTTTTTTTTTTTTAACCTCTGGCTGTTCAGTACTTACCTTTATACCATTTCAGGCTTCATTGGACTTGTAGGGCTTGAATTGTAATAAATAACTGGAAAAATTAGGGCATTCTAAAACGTTTGACCGCTAGTGTATGTTATAATGTTGTTACCTCATCAAAAACATAGAGTAGACCTTTATTATAAGTCCATCTACATCTCCAAAGCTCAAAATGCTCTGTTCCACCTTGTGATGTCATGTAGTGGTAATTTTAAGGTTCATGCAGCAGCTACTTTAGTTTAGTAAGAATTGTCTATTCCATGTCTGAAATCCTCCAAATGATTCTAGTGAAGGTGTATGCAGTTTGAACACCATGGAGCATTTCCTGTATTACCGCATGACATCACAAGTTGGAACAGAGTGCTTTTCCATTTGAGAGAAGAACTAAATATGCAAGATGTGTGTGTTCAACATTTGTGAATGAAGCACAACACAGCTCCAGTTATGTTTTTCATGAAACGTTATAACACAGATCAGAAGTGTAATAATATTGCCTAACATAACATGCAAAGCAATCACCTACACCAAAAATGTCCCATAATGCATCTTTAAGCTCCCAGGCATGTTATTGAATTACACATGAAGCTTATGTTAAAATTGGATGCTTGGAAACTGTGTTAGAAGCAAAGTCTCTGCTTGCATTGTCATGTATCCAACAGTCTGTCAAATATCATCCATCATTTCACAATCCCCTTGTGATTCTGTTGGAGTCCTCTTGTTCTTTTTGGCTAGTTTAGTTGTTTACATTTATTGTGAGGCTAAACAAGACATCACTATGGAATCCTTCACTAAACACTCACGCCACATCTGCACAATAGTACATTTTTAAATACTCAAACGAATGACAAAAACCAAGAATTCCGACGTTATTGTCCAGAAGTGGTGTCAGACATTTCCGCTCGGTCACATGCGCAGCCTCTTTGGGAATACAGCTTAATGCATGAGCTTTTGGAGTGTATAGGATTTCACACGTAGATCCAGCCAGGCTAAAAGTGTCCAGTAATAACACTTAATGACTGAGTATAATGATAACAGATGACTCATGAGGGCTGCTCAGAAAATATACTCCATAAATATGCAGAAGAAAAGCACAATTTATAAGAATCTGGGTAGCATCGTTTTGTAATTATCACCTCTGTTAGCTTGGTTTCAGATGAGCTCCAAATGCTG